ATAGTGTCAGAAATGGCAAAAAGGGGATTTGTTAATGAGGTTCGTGAAGGCCTAGGCTGTTCTTCTGATCAGATATACTCTCTTGGCAGTCTTAGGACTCCTGTTGGGCTTGAATATTTTGTGTCAATTTCTGTTCTGAAGGTGCTGGGACTTGGCATCCCCAACCTTGATCATCCTGAGGCTTTGAGGCAAGTACACAGGATTTGAAGTCAGAAGACCTAGGTTTGAGTTCTGGCTGAGCCACTCACCTTGTGTGAGTGTCTTTTTTTTTTTTTTTTGACCGGTAAGGGGAATGCAACCCTCGGCTTGGTGTTGTCCGCACCACGCTCAGCCAGGGAGTGTACCGGCCATCCCTATATAGGATCCAAACCTGCGGCGCTACCAGCACCACACCCTTCCGAGTGAGCCACGGGGCCGGCCCGTGTGAGTGTCTTTCGACTTTTGATAAATCACTGAATTTCTCTGTGTTGCATCTGTAAAATGAGAGTAACCCCTACTTCACAGGGTTATTGTGAGGATTATATATATGCTAAAGCGTTTTATAAATAAAAAAGGTTCTATGAACATTATTGTTATTCTTGGGGAAGCCCACCTTGGAAGTTGCTAAATAGGACAGCTGTGGATAAAACTGTCTTCCTTTTTTCTTCACTCAGCTTAGCCTTTCCATTTGGTCAGGGCTGCTTATAGGGGATGGTAGTGTTGAAGTCACCAGGTTTTGGCTCCTTTAGTCAAAGAAAGAGAATTTCCATGTCCAGCTGCTCTATCCATAGACTCATAGGCAGAATGGAAGTGAGCAAAGGCAATTTTTAAGCCAGGGTAGTTTAGTTTGGGGGATAAGGGAAGAATGCTGACCTTGCATTCTCAAATCCAGGATGACTAAAATATCTTAAGTAAATGAGGAATAGCCACAAAGATACTCAGAGATAATTTAAGCCATGAATTGGAAGTGGGAAAATGAGCTTATAAACCCTTTCTGTTCTATCCCTTTTACCATCAGGGACAGACATGTTACTGACATCTCACTGGCTATTGCCTGAAACCTGCCAATCACCCAAAGAGAATAACAGCTTCTGGGAAATCTCAGTTCAGTGCAGCAACTGTGGCATATTTACCCTCGTAAAGCCACTGCTTGGTCTCTTCCAGTGCCTCAGTCTTATGGAGATCATTCCTGGAATCCAAAGCTATCATGGTTTCTAACCCAGTAAGAGTTAAAAACAATAACAGTTAGGGCCGGCCTGTGGCTCACTTGGGAGAGTGTGGTGCTGATAACACCAAGTCAAGGGTTAAGATCCCCTTCCCAGTCATCTTTAAGAAAACAAACAAACAAACAAAAAAACAGGTCATGAGAAGCATGCTCGGCAATTATACTTCATGCAGCTCTAGGAGACTGCTCTATCATTCACAGCACATAGGGTAAGCATCTCACTATTTCCAGCATGAACCAACCCTGAGAAACTGTATGGTCTCAGCCACTCTGCTTGGGTGGTAATTCTTCACTGCTGATCTTTTCTCTCCATTTCCTTTCTCCATCCTTCCCCTGCCATCTTCTAGGGAAGTACCAGTACCCAAACCAAAAAGTTGCCTGCATGTTGATAACGGAACTTTATAATATTCCTTAGTTATAGCTGGACCCTGTTGGTATGATTTTTGAAGGATTTGATCGAAATCTAGTTGCTTTTTATTGTTGGGGAGAGGGAGATGTCTAGGGCTTCTGTGCAGCCTGAGAGAAGCCATGTGTGTGTCTATATACGCACATATTGTGTGTATATGTATCCTCATGGTGTCTCAGGGCCGACAGGAGGGTAAAGAGTGAAAAGGAAGCATCTCTTTTTTGTTTTCCAACATTGCTTCAAATATGCCCAACCCCCGTAGTAGCAGTCAGTTCCCAAGTGGAGGGTGGGGGCAGAGGCCTCCACCAAGGCCATCAATAACCAGGTGTGAGCTACAGGTCTCTGTGTAATGTGAAGCTCTCCCGTATTTCATTTCTGCACCCAGGGAGCGGCTCTGTAGGATTGCTTACGGAGAGCTCTGTGTCTGGCACCTCTCTCCACAAGGCCCAGGCGCCCAGGGTCCCACCGACCTGCCCAGGAATGCATCACATTGTTCTCTGGTGCTGTAATTTGGCTGCAGGAGCTAGGCTGAATACCTCCCAAGGATGAGAAACATACTCTTCCTGGTGTCCTCCCTTCTCCCCAGCTAGCTTGGGCTTCTGCCCTTTGACCACTGAGAGCATTTAAATAAAAACCTCAGAAAGGCTGAGGAAGAAATCCTGATTATCTCTCTTCTATTAAGCCATGTAGAAACTCATGTCCTAAGTGGGTCTGAGAATTTGGCATAGGACTTAGTGGTTGATATTCTTGATAAAGGAAGTGAGAGAAAGGAGAAGAAATTACTCTCTGCAACAAGAAAGAATAGAAGTGAGGCAATGAGTCTTCATGAGTTAGATCTACAAATCTTTTTTTGGCAAACAGAGCTCCAGAGCCAGGCAATGTTAGATTCTTTTAATTAATCTGAAGTGTCTGATTTCATCTTTCCAGCATCACTCCAAGGAAGAGTGAGGATTAGTGCCATTATTTAGGGCTAGTAATCATAAAAGCTGGCTCTTATCTGCAAGGATAGGTTAAGTCTGGCATTCTCTTTTTTTTGGCAGCTGGCCGGTTCGGGGATCCGAACTCTTGACTTTGGTGTTATAACACTGTGCTTTAATCAACTGAGCTAACTGGCCAGCCCTAAGGCTGGCATTCTTACTTTTACGTAAGAAACTGGCTATAGGCTGTGCAGCTGAGGTACTTCAGTCATGTGTGTTCTCTAAAAGATTCTAAGATCCTTAAAGGATCGAAATATCTTTTAAGTTAACTTCGTATCCAAATAGCACTTACTGTGATGCACTATACCTAAATATTTACTAAAAGTTAAAAGAAATGAGAACAGGAAGGAGTGGAAGAGAGGAGAGAGGCTAAGACACTGCTGATTTTAGGAAGAGACCTCTAACTAATTGAGGAGAGATGGAAAGGGGGTGATTAAAGGCAGAGTGAGGGAGTAGCAGCAGAACTAAATGGAGCTCTGACTGCACCAAATAAAGTTCTCATTTTGCTGCTTGTTCCAAATAAATTAGTTTCTGTTTGTATAGTACAGAATGGATGCCAGTTCTCTAAAGCCAATCGGAATGCAGAGGCAAGCTGAGGACTGAGAGGAAAACTTAATTGCTTGACCGTCATTCCTTCTTGGGGCCATATAGCCTCTGTAGTGGGGTTCAAATGGACATGTTTTCTCTATTATCCACCACACTTTTCAAACTTCTGACTCTGGACAGCTTGCTCTTCTCTTAACCATTTAGAGGAAACTCCAAAACTTGCATTTTTATGAGCTAGAATTTGGAGCCCAGGGAAAAGCAAGTAATAGCATGAGATGCCAGAAGAGGCCCACTTACTTCCACAGCATGAGAACCAAAAACCAAAGAGTAAGTAATAGAGCACAGGTAAATTTAACTCAGGTTGACTTCCATGGAAAGCCAGTGCCATCCTTTTTGTGGTAACCTGGATATTCTTGTGAAAAAGGTGCTGGCTGGAACTTGAGGCTCCTCCCAGCAGCCTGGTATATAGGCAGCACCCTTTTGTAAATTAATTCAACCCTATTCTTCAGTTCAGACCGACCATGACCTCCTTACCTGGCCACTACCCCAAAGCTCTCCTCTTTTTAATCCCAGCTCAAGATGTCAGAAGCTCTTCTCTCCCCCTCTCATTACCCCCCTCCCTAATCCCACCATTGGCTCATCAGTTATCCAGTTGACTCCACTCTGCAAGGAAGACATTCCCCCAGCCTGACTCACTCAGTCCCATTTCTCCACAGGCATCCCCTCACCACAGACCACAAGGGCCCTGACTAACTCATGTTTTGTGTTAATGGATGTGAAACCGGAGCAAATCCCCTTACAAAAAGAAAAACCATCCTAAACTCTCCCACACAGGTCTCAGCAGGTTACACAAATATTAGTCCTATCATCCAAATAAATCTGCCCCCATGGCCCAGAGCTATGGCTCCCCCAACCTCCTACTGCCTGTGCAGAGTAAAGCTGCTCCACAAATATATGAGGACCCCAAGGGATGTTGAAGAGGAACTTGGGAAAGGAAAGAGGGCCTATGTACAGAATTCCTTGTGTAGGCCCCTTAATCTACAGCCTGTTGTCAATACTTTAAAGTCCTAAATTGAAGGTTCCTAGAAAAATCATGACGGGCTAGACCAATCGGGGCTTTGGTGAAGAGTATCTGCGGGCTAGAGTTTAGGCCATAAGTAAAATTCAATATTTGAGATAGGTATGAGAAAATAGAGGTTTGCAGAATTTAGGTATCTTGCTCAAAATATCAAAAACAGTAAGTGGCACAGCTGTGACTTTTAACCTAGGTCTGTCATAACTGCAAATTTCTACACCACTCGGCTGCTTTAAAATATCAGTAGGTAAGAGATAACCACTGTCCAAGTCACATAAAAGTAGGACATCAAGGTTTTTGGGACTCCATGTCCTACCCTCTAGCTTATTAAGCCTACTATCTCTGGTGACTCCACTACAAACCTATTTAGGCAACTAGTAGTAGCACAGAAGGAACCCTCCCCTATTTAAGCCAAACATGGAGTGAATAATAATAATCACCAGGACTTGGAGAGTCACTAAATAAAGACTTGTTGAATAAATGGGGGAAGGCTCCCTTCTAGGCTGTTTACCACTTTGGCCCCAAGCCACAGCTCTCTTTCTGTATGTAGCCACTGGCTTCTGCCCCCCAGCTTCAAAGGCTAGAATCTTCTCCTTAAGAATTACCAAAGCCAGAGATCCTACCTATCAGGCATACATTGATGCCTCACATATGTCCTTCAGATCAGGTCTGCTTACCCTCCTCCACCCTCTATGAGTTGCCTATTTTTTACTTAGCATTTCCTAAATCTGGCTAACCTCCAGAATAATGCATAGAAAAAAATAAATCCTAAGGCCTAGCCAGACTTAGTAGTAAATTACTCTCTCCCAGGAGTGTTCCAGGGTGTTGTAATGATCAGGCATGGGAACCACTGCATGCCACCTCAGTTTGAACAGTCAGCAAGTGAAGAAGAGAGGCAGTGCTGTCTTACATAGGTTGAAAGGGGAGAGGGAGGGAGGAGAGAAGAGAGAGAGAATATGTTTGTATAGTTATATGATTTTTTTCCCTACAAAACACAGCAGTTTATAAACATGACCATGTGAATGGGAACGTGGTCCACTGTGGCTCTTATCTAGCAATGTCAGGCTGTTGATAATAGAAGAATGTTGTAGCCTAAGAGTTTCTTTTGGAGGACCAGGCAGTCTGCCCACACTCTCTCTAGGGAAGGGACATGCAGTTTCATCTCTGTCCCATCTACCTTCAGCCAGGTAGGAACAAAAAGAAGCTCTATCCAGGAACCCTTCCTCTTGCATACCCATGAAGTGTCAGGAAGCCAGTGCAAGGGAAAGGAAATAGGAGCCTAAACCAGGTACTTTAGTGCAACTCATATCACTCTGAAGACCCCCTACTTCTTCTACTTCCCCTTCAAACCTCCAGCGGGGGAAATCAGGAAATCACTCAGTTTCTTATATCCCCTCAACTCCTTCCCAGGGCTAAGGAACCAGCCAGGACACCAAGGTCCCTCTGGATTACTCTCCAAGTCCTTAAATAGAAGCCATAGCAGCCCAAGGTGGAGGGTGGAGGAAGGTGTGCATGCAAAGATCTTGTGCTTTTGAGTTGGTAGTCTTGAAGTGGAGGGACGAGTGAGGTATCTTTGTGTTCAGGTCTGGTCCAGCCACTCTGCCTTCTTTGGAGCCTTGCAAGTATGGACGTCTACAGTGTTTCTGCACTCCTTGCACCGCACAGCACAGCACCAGTGAAATTTGCATTCACACTGGGTGACACGGGTGACTCGAGTTGTGTCATACCCTCGGCCACAGCACATGATTTCACAACCATCTGTTCCTTTAGATGTCTTGCTGCAGACACGACCTGCAGTGCCTAGAGAACCTGGTTGGGGAAGAGAGGGAGTGAGAACCAAATTACCTCTACCTTCAGCTGCTCTAGGTACCCTTACCCACATTCTCAGGAGGAAGCCATAAAGAATCCTTTTTCTGAAAATATACCTACTAGCCAAAATTATCATCTTCTCACTGCCCTCTGCACCAGGCTTATTTCTTCCCACCATTAAGGCTCCCCAAAGGCCACTGACTTCACCTGCAATCTCTCTCCCTGCCAATACACATCTCCATATTCTCTTCAAAATCTAACCTTAAAATGTTCATAATTGTTAAGGCAGGGTGAGGGTTCTCTACTTTATGTTTGAAATTTTCCACAATAAAAAGTAAAAGAAAAAAACTTAGCATATAACTTATCTCTTCCAAGAAGTCTGCCATGACTCTGATCCCGCTATCGTTTGTTAGTACTTTGGTCCTTAGTTTATATTTTATTAAGTTGTACTATACAGGGAAGTAATATAGAAGTGTGGTCCCTGGTGTCAGATTGTCTGGGTTCTAATCCCAGTTCTGCCACTTCTTAGCTGTGTGATTTAGCAATTTAGTTAACGTCTCTGGGCTGTAGTTTTCCTAAATGAAAAAACTGGACATAATAATAGCATCTAACTTAGTGGGTTGTTACGTTATATCTATAATCGCAGTTCAACTGAGGAGGTGGGCTGATTAGCATGACTCGTTGGAGGCATGTCTCTAAGGAATTCCTTGCAGTGGAGTATCCCCTACAGTGGAGACTCTTGAAGGGTAGGGATGATGTTTTCCCCCTGCGTAGGGAATGCTTGGGACCTCATTCTGACTTATTTCAGCAAAAGAGATCCTGCCAACAGATCATAAAATCATAGAATTTTGGAATGGTTGGACCCTAGAGAGGACCTACTTCAACACTTTCCCTTATTAGTATGGACCCGGAGATGGGAAAGTGACTAGCCTGGGGTTCAAGAAGGAGAATAGATCAACTGATTTCTACAGCCGTAGTCTCCACATTCCACTGGGATATGGGAAGAAAATGTTAGAACTTCTACATTTTTTAATCTAATCAATTTAAAATATCTATTTGGGGTGTATGTTTTATAATATACATATTAGTATTGTGGAACATATATATAACCTATATGTAAATATATATATAATGAAGGTACATGTTCAAATTTTTTTTTTTTCCCTTTTTTTTGTCTTTTTTACTGACCGGTAATGGGATCGCAACCCTCGGTGTCGCGTCTGCACCTCGCTCAGCCAGTGAGCGGGAACCGGTCTCCACATGGGATCCGAACCCTCAGCGGGAGCGCCGCCACGCTCCCAAGCGGCGCACTCTCCAGTGCGCCACCGGGCCGGCCCCAAATTTTTTTTAATGATAGGCATATATAAGTCTACTATATATGTTACTCTCCTAACTTGAAGCTCTGGGTCTCAAGTCCTTCTTTTGTGCACTTAAAACCTCTTCTACACTCTGGAGTTATACCGTTCAGTGTAGTAGCCACATGTGGTCTTTTATATTTAAATTAATTAAAACTAAATAAACTAAAAAAATTTAGTTCCTCAGTCACATTAGCTATATTTCAATAATCACATGTGGCTAGTTGCTATCATAGTGGACAACACAGAAATAAGAACATTTCTATGATAACAGAAACTCAAATTGGACATTGCTTCTTTGGAGAGAATTCCTGGCTCCATACTTCCTTCTGGGAGGACTTATAAACTTTGAATTCCAGGCCCCACATTGGGTTTTATGAGACCTAATTTTATGCCTCTGAGAAAAACCAACACACATATGATTCATTCTCCCTCCTGACTCTGAAGACCCTTCCCCAAATGTGCATTTTAGGTATGGTAGTATAGGCTTACACCTTAGATGTTGTGGAATTATTTCCAGGCAACCAGAGGGTAACCCTCTGAATTAAACCATGTGGGAAGAAAACATACCTAGTGGCAGGAAACCACTAGAAGAGTCAGAAGGGCTCTCCCAACCTTTTTTCTTCTCGCACCCTACAAAGTATACAAACTACTTTCTCTGTTGCTTGGGGAAAGCCTCACCCTATTTCTGTGCTCAGTTTTGCTCTGAGCCACTTGACTCTCCAGGAACGACAGTGATGGTTGGGAACAGTACCAAGGACAGCTGAGGTTTTTGGCTCCACCTTACTCAAGTCCTGATTGTTGAATCTGCAGAAAAGAGCCTAGGAGCTCCATGACAGAAACCAGGGGAGGAGCAGTTCTGTTGCACTGCATATTGTTCCTAGTTCAACCTATCTGAACCTGAAATATGAGCCAGGATGGTAAGTTCCACTCCCTTGGGGAAATACCATATCACCTTCCAGCATCCCTGAGAATTCCACCACAAATATCTAGAACAGATCAAAAAATAACCATTTGCTCCTTGCTGCCAACCATTTTCTGCTTTACCTGCCTTTGGTAGGAATCTCTTCTTGCTCCATTTTAGAATCTTCAACGATAGCACACCATATAAAGCCCTTCTAAGTCATTCATATTCTGGTCCCAGCCTATCTTTCTAGCTTTAATCTCCCTTACTGGAAACATTTACTCAGTCAAATTGATCTGCTCTCTGTCCCTGGAACAGGTCATGTGCTTTCCCACCTACCACTCTGCTCATGTGCAGAGTATCGGCCTTTTCTCTCTAGCTATCCATAGAGAGCAGCTTCAAGGAGCAGCTTAAATTCCACATTTTCAAATAAACTTTTCTTGATTTCTCCAGTCATCTCTCTTTGCAGTTGCATTTGTCTACCCATTACATCTCATTTCTTTAGCTAGACTGTAAAGAGCCAAAGGCTTAGGGCTGCATCGTACACTTTTTTTTTTTTTTCCTTTTTGTCTTTTTTCGTGTCCGGCAACAGATCGCAACCCTCAGTGTTGCGCCTGCATCGTACACTTTTGTGTAGCCCACATTGCTCAGAACTGAAAACAGGTGACTCATTTAAACATTCACTGAGTAGTGCCTACTGTATCCAAGATGCTGCAGATACAAAGCAGCGATATATGACCTTGGGCCTCAAGGAGCTGAGTGATGACCTCTCCATTTGGGCAGCACTGGGCCTGGTGGACTGAGGCAAAAGTCAACAGTCTCATGACCTGGTTCTCATTTGTGGGGAGGAGACTGACTACTCCCATAACATCCCCTTCCCTAACTCTGAGACTGAACAGACTATGACTAGCCAAGGGTGCATGCACTAAGAACTGGGGCTCCTTGTCCCTGCCTGCTTTCCTTACTCACCTGCAGCCTTGTCCAAGACACAGTAGTCTGGGGAGTTGTCAAAGTAGACAAGATCAGTCCGGGTAGCACGGCGATAGCCTTGGCGGGCTGCTGTGAAGTTGGCACCATCCTGGGTGGCTGTCACCTGCACAGCCCCATCATAGCGCCGCCGTAGGTAATCACCTGTACGGCGGAAGTCTGAGAGTGCACGCCAGCAGGTGCGCAGCGTACAGGAGCCACTCACACCATGGCACTTACACTCCAGCTTCAGAAACCGCCGCACAGCCTGGGGGAGAGGGGAGGCAGGTTAAGGGAGAGGTACAGTCAGGGTACTTTTTAGTCATCCTTAGGGCCAAAAGCACTCTGAGATCTGCTGGACCTGGCCCTGGCTGGCTAGTTGAGCCCTTGGTTCTTTCCCACATCAAATCCCAGCTATTCTTCCCGATCAAATTCAAGAACCTCTTCTTCTAGGAAATCTTCCTGGACTGACAGTGCTTTCCTGTTCATGATAGCCTGTTGGACTTCAGAGCCACAGGATTCTGTTCATGATTACCAGGTAACACACCTTCAACTTTTGTAGTGTGCCATTTCCCAGCACAGTACTAGCCATACAGGAGGTGCTCAAATGCCAGTGAATTGACTAGAACAAGCTCTTGTTCTCTCAGTATTTATGAAAGCAGTTCTTTTCCTTCTCAAAAAGTTACTTCCCTTTTTTCCTCCACCTTTTCCTACTTTTTACCTATGTGAAGACTCTTTATGCACCTGGTTGAATCTAGGGATTTCCAAATTCTCTTGCATTTAGTGCTCCTGTCTAGGATGTTGGGGCTTTTGGAAGTGATCCAGAAACCTTCAGCTCTTCTACTTTCACATTTAGTACATGGTCACACATACAAGGGTACTTCAGTAAGTTCATGGAAAAATGGAATTAAAGACAATACAAATCTTTCTGTGAACTTTTTGAAGTACCATCATACTAGTCATCCCCAGCAAATACGAATGTATATACACAGACATGATTACTGACCGTGCGACCACAGCGGTTGTTATGTAAGTTCATGAGGGCCCGGGCATCTTTAAGCCTCTTCTCCTTGGCATCCACGAAGGCCTTGGCAAAGCGGATGCCATAGTGGATGTTGTCACTGCAGCCACCCCAGTCAAAGTCCCCACGTTGGTCATGGTGTCGGCCACGGGTGTAAGGGTCACAGCTACACACACTCAGTTCACCCTGGCTACAGGCACGAGTGATAGCGTGGACCACCCCTGCTGATGAGATGGCATATACAAATGCTGCCTCTCGGCTACCTAAAGAGAGAAAGGTAAAGGTGTGTTTCAGGAAAGAGGCCCATGTCTGTCCCCTTCTTCAGCCCACACAATCTCCAATTTTGAAACCTCCTCTTCTTTCTTATTCTTTCCCCAAGCCACTCCCCTATACTCCCTTTATTCAAAGTGCCCTTCTCTTCCAAGAGCATTTCCCAGAGTATCTGACCTCTCCCCTCAGCCCTCACTACTCTCTATCCACTTCTTTGTACATCTGACCTCTTGGGCTGACCTGTGTTCTTGTTTCCTTCTAAATTCCCTGTGGCCATCCATTGAAAAGTCTCATGGTGAATCATCCCCTGCCACTGAGTACCAGCACTAGTTCAGCTAAGCCTACCTTAGTCTACATTCTAGGCCTTTTCAGTCTCACTCTGCTGGACAGTTCCCCTACAATGGTGACCCCAGCCCAGGGGTCAGCCTGGCTTGTTTGGAGAGACATGCTAACTTTCCCTACTTGCTCTCCTTCCCTTCCTGCTTTCTGGGACTAATGAATCATCACCTCTGTACTCCTGGCACCTCTAGATTCCCATCTCATTCTCTTTCTACTAGTTTATTGTCTAGCTCTGCTTAGCTTTTTGCTGAGCTGAGGCCAAGCCACTGAGTCTCCAAATATTTATAAGTCACCTTTTTGTTTATCTTTTGTTCCCATTAATGTAGTATTAGGAGTGGTGGGGTGACAGTAGTGATGGTATTGGTAAGAATGGTGGATCTATTCCTAGTCCTCAGCCTTACAATACATGCTGGGGGTTGGGGAAAGCAGGGACATTGAGGGAGAAAGATAGAGATGCTAGGGAATGCTTTACCTTTGTCCCATCATCCCAGCGCAGTAGGATTTAGAGGAACCCCTGCCTACAAATCTAAGATACTGAAGGTTTGTTCCCAACTGTATTCTGGGCTTCCCCATAGTTTTTCTCTGATTATGACGTAATGTTTGGGAGAGGAGAGGGGGGATCATGCCAACCCTTCCCACTCACCACCCCAAACATAGTAAGGAAAGGAGCTGGGGCAGGGTGAATGAGACCCCTACTTCTGAGCATGACACGGCCAAAGACAGTGTGGTCCCGGTCCAGTGTGGTGCAGTTCCAGCGGTGGTGGCGGAACTGGTGCTGACACTCTCGGATCCATTCTCGAGCACCCTCGCCCACCGAACGCATGATGTCTGGGTAACGCTGGCACAGCTGCCGCTGCCGGCTCACCAAACCAGGAATATTGTCACAGATCACTCGGGCCCCCAGTGCTCCAATGTACCTGCAAGGTGGAGATGGCCCTGTAAGAGCACCGCAGACCTTTTCTGCATCAGGAGGGGAAAAAGGGGTGGGGGGAGCAGGGGGAGTTTGGCATCCAGACCTTAGAGAGATTCCTTCCCCTCCCCCCAGCCTACATTCTCTGAGGCTGATGGGTAGAACTGTTCCCCACAAGCTCAGGAGAAATAATTATGCAGTTGCAGAGGGAGTAATTGAGTGGTCTCCCACCATCTCCATTTCCCCAAGCCAAAAGCCAAAGTGAGATATACTCCCAGAACACAGGCCAGGCATGTGTCACATACACAGAAGCTGTGGGCATGTCGCACAAACCCATTGCTTGTTTATTTACTAAACATTAAAAGCTTCATGGAAAAATAAACTAATGAAACAAGGGTCTGAGACAACATTCTTACACTCACATGTAAGAGGCACGTCGTGTGTGTCTGGTCCATGAAGACATAGTTTGGTGGCAGGGGGATGGAGACAGGGAGGGGCCACTGGGAAGAGACGTAGTGGCCAATTTTCAGTAGTGTTTACACAGTCAGACCCACGTAGCTAAAAAGTCCTCAGTCTCAATCCTGAGGTACAGGAAGGAAGACCCCACTCCCAACTCTCCTTTCTATACCCGTTATTTTCAGTCCTCAGGGCCTTTCTTAACTAACGAACCTTTTAAAGTCATCTTCCCCACCTTATAAGGCAGTGTCCTGGAGATGGACCTGCATGGGCCGAGGGCTGTTTGCAGTGGGAAGCCAAAGGCCAAGGTAAGTAACAGGCAACTCCCCATACTCCAGTCCCCAGTATGAACAATTGCAAGAAGATCAATTGAGAGGGGCTACTAAAGGATAGGTGGGTTGCTAGCATCATTCTCACGGCAATATTTTCTCTTCAAACACTCTTAGCCGTGGACACCACCACAAGCCTCAGAGAGAAAACAGGTGTGCATCACCTTTTCTCCCCAAGAGGCCACCAAAAGAGATCTGACCCATTCACCCACTTCCTCCAGCTCAACAGCCCAGCTTTACTTCTCCCTTTCTTTTTTTTTTTCTTTTTTGTGACCGGTAAGGGGATCGCAACCCTTGGCTTGGTGTCGCCCGCACCGCGCCGCGCTCAGCCAGTGAGCTCACCAGCCATCCCTATATAGGATCCGAACCTGCGGCTGGAGCACCACTGCACTCCCAGCGCCGTACTCTCCTGAGTGCGCCACGGGGTCGGCCCTACTGCTCCCTTTCTATTGCTCCAACCGCATAGCACCTTCCTTGATTTGCTGGGAATTCTCTATTCTCATGTCCATAACACATCAAAGGGATGCCTTCTCTCCCCTTTTCTGAACAGGTGGGGGCCATGGAGAGAAGTTGCTGCTGCAGACAGAAAAGATTTGGTCTGAGTTATGAATGAGCCTGTGGTTTGGGAACAGCCCCAAAATGAGCCTAGAAGTGGGTGAAGAGAAGGGAGGGCAGCTGGTGGGGGAAGGGGGAAAGCTAGACTACCCTGGGCTCTGTGCCCCCCCCTCAACATTCCCACAACCAGCCTTCACCCACAGACTGGATCACCACTGGTGACACCAACTCAAACAAACACAAGGAGGGCTGATGCTTGCCTCTTTGGGAACTCAGCAGGGCTGATGGGGCCCATCTGTCCCAGGGGAGGGGTGAGAGGGCTAGCCCTCCCCTAACAAATCCCATGGAATCAGTGTCCCCAGCACTGTCCATCAGGGCAACAGCTTCCAGGAACAAACAAAATAAACACCCCAGACCGGGCCAGGCCGGAAAGGGCTGCCTGACGCACAGCCTGGAGTTACACCCACTGCCGTGGTGCTTTGTTTGGAGAATCAAGACCGTTGGAGTTGGAGCTTGTCCCTGTCTCACCACCATTCTGCTTCCTCAGTTCAGCCCCAGAGTACTACTCTAGGCAATGGGTGTTTGTTTTTTTTTACTGGGGCTTGGGAGGAGGGGGGTTGGATGGGAATGGGAGACCAATAATCCAGCTCTCATGAGACAGTCTGCAGTGGGGCAGGCCAAACTCTGGCAAAAAGTCCTTCCTGTGGTCTGACTTAAATCCATTCTGCTGCAGCCCACATTGATCTTTCTTCTTACATCCTCACTGAGCGTGGGAACATCTGTTCAGAATCTAAGATGGGAAGATAATTAAGTTTCTCTACTGTCACCTTACCCCACTAAACTGCTTCAAGACTGTAGAACACAGCAGTGGCCTGCTGTCCAATAGTCAGCCCCTGTAGCCAGTGTGGAGGCCTCCAATAAAGCTGAGCCTGAAGCTGAGCCCATCTGCCTCCCAGTTCAACACATGCCTGCAAAATGCCTACCATGTGCCAAACACTGAGCTCAGCTATTAGGAGCACAAAGATGTTTAAGGCATCCCCCAAGGTCATGGTCTCGTAGAGGGTGCCAGATGCCCCTGACTCTCTAGCTTTATTTTCCCCTCCAGGAGTTCTTCACTTCCCTCCCATCTTCCCAGAATGCTATCTTTTCATTTGCTTTTGACCAATTCACATCCCTTCCTTTGACAAAATGACTTGTGCCCACTCTAGCCCCCTTCCCCACTCTAGTCCCCAAAACAGCAGTATCTGCATTACCTAGGGATTTATTAGAAATGCAAAACCTCAGGCCCCACCCCAGCCCTCCTGAAACAGAATCTGCATTTCATCAAGATCCCCATGGGATTTAGATGCACTGCTCTATGAAAGCAGGGATTTTTGTCTATTTTGCTCACCTCAATATCCCCAGTACTGAGAATAGTATCTGGCACATAGTAGGTACTCAATAACTACTTTAAGAATAAACACCTAACTTCTCTGATTTACCCCCAACTCCCTTCTCCCACCAGCCAGCCACAACTTCATTTCAATTACAGCTTTACTCCATGTTGACATTGCCAGCCTATTTGTAGACATTTTATTGTGTCCTTTTAATGAGGCCAGGGATCCTCGTTTTTCTCCCCTCCTTCTAGTGTACAACCCCTAGTATACACAGTTCAGCCCAGAACATAGGGACTTTGAACACAGAGATAAAACTATAAGCCTCCCTGAATCTGCTCTTAATACAAAAGCATTTGGGTAGTACTTTACAGTTCACAAAACATTTTTTTTTTTCTGCACAAAAATCCCATGAGACAGAGATGTCCATAAAAAAGTGAAGAAACTGAGGTTCAGGGAGATGAAGTGATAGTAACCAGCTCTGTCCATCAGGGCTAGCTGGAGGAGAATCAGGATGAACCAAGGTCATCTGACTCCAAAGTCCCAAGCTCATTTTCATTCCAGGGACAATAGAGGCACACAGTTCTTAACTAGGAGTAGACCAATCTGGCCCCCAAATTAGTGTGAAATTGAACAAGTTTCTTACCACTCCTATCTCTCACTTTCATTTGTGAAATGGGGATAATAATAGGAACCACCTCACTGGATTATTTTGGGGATTGAAGAAGATGAGCTTATAAGGTGCTCGGCTATAGTGCCTAGAGTTCAGTAAGGGCTCATTAAATAGCAACTGTTGTTAGTAACAGTAATGCTAACATGATACCACTCTGTTTCTCTCCATTTATGAGCCCATGAATACAGTCCTGCTCTTCTGATTCCCTACATACAAACCCCTGCAGAAAGGAAAATAGAACAGGGAAGCAGATGATAGGAGCCCCCTATTTCATGTGCAGTTTGTCATAGACTAAGAAGAGACCATCCATTTCTTCCTCCAGCTAAGAGAGAGGAAGGGAGTGGTTGGAGAGTAAGAGGAAGAATCTCAGGCTATGAAGATCAGACTGTTAGCTGGTGATAATGATGGCCTTCTACTCCAGAACGGAACACGGACACACAGTCAACAGGCATCTCTTCCAAGGGTTGTACAGAATATCAATCTTGCTCGGTTTTTTCCTAAGGAAAAGAGAGATAATCACCTTGGGAGCCTGACCTGCCTTCAGAAGGCAGCTTTTCACCTTATCCCAGGGGTGGTGACCACTGAGGCAGGCATCTGGGCCTACAACTATGACAGGTGTGGTGCAAGGAGACTGAAACAACCTCTGCACCCACTCCCCATCCTGGCCCTGTTGCTGCCTTCCTCCATTTCTCAGGGGCTGCTAAGTCCCTGTGTGTGTCACCTGCCTCCATTCCAAGTTCTTCCACCCAAAATCTTTAATACTAACCATGTGGGGGGAAGGTAGTAGAGGGAGAAAGGAAAAGGGAGAGGAAGTAGTCAAGGGTACAAAGTGGGGACTAGAAAAAACTCCACTTGGGTCTTTAGGAATCACTACCAGGATGCTGAAATTACCAGTGTCATCTCCTCACCCAAACACCAATTGGTCCCTAAGACTGTCTCCCAATCTGGTAAGAAGCAATCAGGAATCCTTAAAAGCAAATTACCATCTGGGCTGGATAAAGATGGTCAGCAGTTAATTCATGCTCTCTCAACAGGGACCCTGAAGATGCAAGTCCCCAAACAGAGCCCATGAAGGTAAAAGGGTGGCTTTGATCTCACTCTGAACTTTGAAAGGGTTTTCTCTTTATCCCCCTTCTTCCCTTTCTAAAGGAATGTTTCAAGCCAGATGTAAGATATAGGCCTCCCTGCTTCCCCATCCAGAACCCCCCTCCTTGCCTTCCCCAACACTGCAGAGATAAAAAAAAAAAAAAAAGATCCAAAAGAGATTTTTCTAAAACAGGAAAACGGGGGTGGGGTATTGGGGCTTGGGGGGTGGGGATGGAGAGAGAAGCATCTTGAATTGATAGGAATCTGCAGCCCAAGCTGGCTGGCCCATCGCCCTTCCAGCCAAGATTCCAGGTCAAGAGGAGAAAAGCCACTGGGTGCAAGGTGAGAAGAAACCACACTTTGGGGGTGGAGGGTTGCACAGGAGGAGGAGCAGAGTAAGGAAAGGGGAGCACTGCATGGTTGAGAGGTGCAGTAGCCCAGTCCAAGATGGGAGGTGAAGAGGAAGCACGGGAAGACTGAGTCTTTTCTCAGTCCAACTCTTGCCCCTTGCCCTTCCCTTCCCCAGGTAGGGGAGGAGAGAGAGCAGTTCTTTCTCCTTAGAAAGGGGAAGAGTGCCATCCAGGGCTGGTGGGGGGATTCTGAAGAGAACAGGCATTAGACATCCAGTGGATTTTTAATGCCTTTTGCCTCGTCTGCCCTCTTGTGAAGTATGTGGAGCCTAAGGCCTGCAAGAAATCTGAGGAGAGGGTCTCTTAGTTCTTTGGGACTCTAAGAGTTTGGAGGAGAGAGATGGGAGATGGGGTCATCTGGGGAAGAGAAGGGAGGGAGACGTCAAGATTCCAAGAGAATCCTCAAAGCAGAGGCTGAAGACAAATGCCTAGATTATACAAACCCAAGTGTTTTGTTTGTTGTAATTGTGGGAGTTAATTGGGTAGTTTTTGCCTCCACTCCGTTTCTAAAGCTCATGCTGGGTGCTGCTGCCTCACCAAAGCCTGCCCACGTTACCCGGTGGGGTAGACTGGCAAGAGACTCGTCCGCCCTCGCCAGCCGCCCTTTTCTCCACTCCCCCCACTCCCCGGGGCGACCTTAGGCGATTGGGGGCCCTGTCGAACGGCCTTGCAGGCCCCAGAAGGGTGACTGATTCCTTGAACCCACCCAGATAGAAACTCGGAAGGTAGCTTCTGCCCTAAGGGGCTAGAACTAAAATAGAGGGGGCACAGCATATGGGGGCCTAGGGAGCTTCGACCACTGGGCGTCCTCGCTCCAAATGCCCAGCGTCCTCCTTACTAGGCGCGTAAAACGCGGCTCCTCACTGCCCTGCCGCCCTCACCCACCACTCCGCGACTTCAGAGACGGTGCTGCCCGGATCGTCGCTGTCGAAGCGACGTCCTAGTCTCCTGAGCAGCCCATGCCGTGAGCCTCCAGGAGCCTCCGACCTCTACGACCCAGCGCCTCACCCGTCCAACCGAGAACCACACTCACCACCAGGACGTGTCTACGCGGGCCGGCAGCGTCAGCAGCAGCAGCAACAGCAGGCAGGCAAGACCTAGGCGGGCCGAAGCCCGGGAGCCGTCGGGGGCCGCGGGTCCGGTCGCGGGCGCGGTGTCAGGGGCGCGGGCGCGCCGAGAGGGGAGCTGCGCAGCTTCCTGCACACCGCCCGGCCTCAGCATAGCTTCCCGAGCACTCCCGCCGCGCAGCCCGGGGGCGGGGACGGGGCACCGTCTGGGGCTACTCAGGCTGCTCCTGTCTCACCCCCCTGGGGGGCCATGGGGCTCGCCGGCGGCCGGGGACCTAGGGTCACCCAGAGTCCAGGAGCCAGGGCGCAGAATCCCGGAGACGGGTTCAAGTTGAGGTGTCCGGAAGCCGACGGCGGCGTGCTGAGCCCGGGGTCTGCGGCGCGCTGCCCGAGCACTGGGTGCGGTGTCAGGGGGTCTGCGGCGCCGAACAGCGCTGCGGGCCAAGTGTGCGGACGGCCCCTCTGGTCGCAGGCTCTCATTGGACGGGGCGGGGCGGGGCCGCGGCCGGGGACACGCGCGGCCCTCAGGGCGGC